GGAGTTACTATTATGATTTGGGGAAGTATCCCCCAGAACAGTGCCTAGGAACCCTTTGGGATAAGCCAGGCGACTGACGAAGTCGGAACAGATTCTTTGGAGAAGCGATGACCAAAGGCTTGCGGAAGTCTCGGTGCTGCTGCCTGCAGCACGCCAGGCGGTCGGAAAGACCCCAAAACCTCGGCCCAGAAACCTACATCTCTAGACCCCTATAACCCCTCATTCCTAAACCCAAACCCCTAAAGCCTTATAACTCCCAGTCCATAATCCCTAACTCCTAAACCCTAAACCGCAAGAACTCCCAATTCATAATCCCTAACTCCTAAACCCTAAACTCCTCACCCCGAAACCCCCGAAGAGTTCAGGCTTTAGGGTTTAGGGTTTAGGGTTGAGTTCAGGGTTTTGGGGCTTAAGGGCTGTAGGGCTTAGGCTTGGGGCTTATAGGGTTTAGGGTCTAGGGTTCAGGGTTGATCGTTTAGTTTGGTTTTTAGGGTTTAGGGTTTGGGGTTTAGGGTTTGGATTTGGGGCTTTCCTACTATGATATTCATGGCTTCCCAGCAAGCATCCTCCAAGACTCCACGTACTTACGATTGCTAGTGGCAACATAATATAGGGGCCATAATAATTACAACAGGGGTTTGGGGTATATTCTACTCTTAATACTGTCATAAGGAAACCCCAGAATTGTAACGTATTGATAATTATTAAGGCCCCCATGTTACTGTTTCAAATTACACTGCTGCGTACTATATTTTCACCGCATCACACAAACACTAGAAGGTTCCTGGCGGAGATTTGAGCTCAACCCTAAACCCTAAACCCTAAACCCTAAACCCTAAACCCTTTTCGAGTATAAGGTGCAGGGGAAGACCCAGAGGGTCCTAAGTACCAGTAGAATGCAGGGTTTCCATACCCTAAACCCTAAACCCTAAACCCTAAACCCCTAAACCCTAAACCCTAAACCCTAAACCCTAAACCCTAAAATTACTAATGTAAGGGCCTTCCTTAACAATTAGGGGGCACATTATACTATAATTGTAACAATGAATCCCCAAAATAGTATAAGTAATTATCAAGGCCCCTATATTACCGTGATTTCGGGAGGTCTTCCCCATAACAGTACCTAGGAATTTTTGGGCCTTAGGGGAGTTATGGCATAGGACAACTCGAAGGGCTCCCTGAAGCAATCGCAAACATGCGCAATTGGAGAGCTCTGTCCACCGTCATGAACAAAACCAACACCGCACCCGAAACCCTAAATCCGAAAGCCACTGTCCAAAGTCAAGAGAGGTCCAGGTTGCTAGACCCTAAACCCTAAGACCAAAACCCTACACCCATGCTAGCCAAAGGCCTTCTCTACGGGGCTATACAACTAGATTGCGCTTTAAAAAATGAGGGTACCATTTTCCCTATTATTCGGTGTTAACAAGGAGACGTCGAAATGAAAAGGGCAAGAGGGTATTATTGGGAAACTAGACCCTCCGAGGGCTAAGCTTTACAATGATGTTGTACCCAAAGATCCCGAGGGCGGTTCAACAAAACCATATTCCCTGAACTGATGCAGAGGATCTAAATAAGATTCCAGGTTATAGTGCTCATTTAACGCACATTGGACTCTTGAGGATTTGGGGATTTCAGCAAAGCTTTCGTCGCCACACCTACGCAGAGCGTGGAAGTAGTTCGCTGGCGTGGAGATGTTCATCACCTGTCGGAGCTAGCTTTCATGCTGCTTAGGCTTAGTCTGCTTAGCGAAGGTTTAGGGTTTAGGGTTTAGGGCTGCTGAGTGTAGGTTTGCAACCCAACTTTCTGCAAGGGGCAGTCTGTTACGACCCTTATCAGCAGAGGAAGGCTTGCAAATCAGGGTCCAAACTCCCAGAACTGCTACCCTAAGGGTCCCAGCACCTACCTAAACCCTCAAAAGTAGGTAAAATAATGGCCCAAAACCAATAAAAAAGGCTATGATTCTACATACTTTTTGGGTCCAGGTAAGGGCTAGCAAGTTAACATCGCCGGACGTTTGACCTAGAACCTGATCTCACAAGGTCTGAAGCTGAGACCTTAAAGCTTAGGGTTTAGGGCTTTCGGGCTGTAGGGTTTCGTCGTTTAGGATTTAGGGTTAAGTGTTTTTGGGTTTAGGGTTGAGGGTTTAGGGGTTTAGGGGGTTAGGGGGTTTGGGGTTAGGGGTTTAGGGGTTTAGGGGTTTCGGGGTTTAGGTGGTTAGGGTTCAAGGCTCTTGGTACTCAAAGGAAGGCCAAGATCAGGGCTTGGGGGCTTGACGGCTTGAGTCACAAGGCCCCTGCCTGGACCCCAAAAGTACGTAGAATAATCGCACTTTCTGGGTTTCGGACAATTATTTTACCTACTTTTGGGGGGTTTAGGTGCGGCTATTGCAGAACCCTCGCTGAATAACCTTCCCACCCTCAACCCTCAACCGTAAACTCGGATCCTAAAACCCCCCTAAAACCCTGCATCCTGAACCCAAACTGTAAACCATGGGTATTAGACCGCCAAGTGGCTCAGATGCCAGACCCATTTTAGTGCGTAGGGATGAGGGCTTGTAGACATGCCGCTTTGGGGGTTGGGGGTTTAGGGTTTGGGATTTAGGGTTTGAGGTTTAGGGTTTACGGGCTTAGGGTTTGGGGTTTAGGTGTTTAAGGTTTACGGGTTTAGGATTGGGCTTCGGGTGATAAGAAGCTTGCACAGCTATCGCGCAGCATCTTAGATGCTTGGAGTTCTCTTAACGGTAGGGCGTTTCATGTGCACCATGAGTCGTTGCAGGCGACGCCCAGGAAACAGCCCAAATCCTGAACCATCCTCAAATAATATAAGGGCCTTCATAATCAGAATAGGGTTTGGGGCCCCAGAAATATATTTAGGCAATTCTCAAGGCCCGTACATTACACTATTTGAAGAACTTAAGCCCCAACTGTTCCACGCAAAACCCGAAAATAAATGGCCGCTATAGCTTGAGGGTGTTTCGTGTTATCCCAGAGAAACCACAATGCACCCCAGACTGAACCTAAGCCTCAAACGATCACTTGTGGCCACAAGCCCGTACAAGTCCTGCACAAACCTTCAACACAAAAGTTAAGCTCCACCCTAAACCCTAAACACAAAGCTCCTAAACAACATTGAAACCCTCAAAAAGTTGAGCCAAGTCCCACCCTAAACCCGAAGCTCAAAAAAACAAAAAACCTTGTTGAAATCCCTGGAGCGCCTGCCAGTTTGCCTTCTGAACTTGGTTTCGTCCGAAGTCCTCGGCTGGCAATGGTTTAGGGTTTAATTTAGGGCTTTTGGGTCTACGGGTTAGGGGTTTAGGGGTTTAGGGTTTAGGGTTTAGGGTTTAGGGTTTAGGGTTTAGGGGTTTAAGGTTTAGGGTATAGGGTTTATGAAACCGGAGTTGTGCCTCTGGCCGGCTGTGAGTTCGTGGTCGTGGGGCCTTCTATGAAGCCCTGGGGTTGTAAGGCTAGGATTAGGATTTAGGGAATTTAAGATTTAGGGTTTAGTTAGGGTCTAGAAACTACGGTTTAGGGCCCGTTTTCGGCTTTAGGGTAATAGGGCAATCTTGTTCAACAGCGAGAAGATCGGAGTAGCGTCGGACAATCTCAGAGCTCTATATGATAGTAAACCAGAAGAGCCTCAAGGGCTTCAAGACAAGAGAGGTCTCTACACTGGTTAATTCACGGGACTGCTGGTAGATTCTGGAGGTCCCTCCGTGTGCTTTTCTTGGGGAAGACGAAGCCGTTTGCGGGGCATTCGGCTTGGGTGTAAAAGGTCATGTCAGCAATGCTCAACATTCAGAAATCTACTGCGTAGTTGGGATCTTCGGTCGAGCCCGTAGGAATCACCACCCAGCCCCCTAGGAGCGTGCAAGAAAGGAAGCCATGGAACCAGCACGATATTGACCGATTAGCATGGCATTCCGATGCTTTGGAGGATTTATTACTCGGCTCCTTTAACTTTAAATCTAAATTAAACGGGGCCTGATGCCACCACATGATGTGGCTTTGTTCGTTGCCGAAGGAACTTCAAACCCATGCTTCATGGCTATGCATTTCTAAGTTTCGCTTGGGTTTGGGCTTATTATGCTTCGTTGGGATTTAGCGTTTGGCGAGGCGTAGTTGAGGGACTGCACTAGCAAGTGTAGTGCCGCCTACCCGCAATCCTCAGACCAGATGCTGTCTTCATCTCGACAGACGACCCTGCAATCGGGCACAATCTTATACCGCATCCGAATGGCGAGCCTCTCTCTTTTTTCAAACACGTTCAGTGAACAATTTAGAGGACTTGTCTATAGCTCACGGAACATCTTCCACAAGTGTTTAAAGGGTAATGGACACTCACACTCTTAAACCCCCAAAGCCCCAAGACCCGAAAGCCCCAAACCCCTAAACCCCTAACCCCTAAACCCCTAAACCCCAAACCCCCAAAGCCCCTTGGTACACAACATCGACCCTGGAACCGACGAGAAACATTCTCGAAATTGGGAATGTCATCCTCATCATCGTCGCCTCGGCCGTCGCAAACCCTGTGACGTTGTTGCGGGTTCAGGATCTAGGGTTTTTTTTAGGGTTTAGGGTCCAGGGTGTAAGGCCAAAATAAAGACCCATGGAGCTTACCTTAAATTACATTAGGATCCCTATTATAATTTAAGGTATATTCCTTAATTAAGGGGTATTGGAGTCTCTGGGTAGCGTGATCTCTGCCCTGCGACGTGCGAGTTCTAAGTTGCAGAATCCGAGCACTAGGTCGCCGCTTCTTTTGGGTCCGGTGTTTGCCTCGGGACCCGATAGCCTACTGTTTACTTAATCATAATCTACTATTGTGCCGGGTTTGGGCCTACTGTAGAGGTTGCAGATTCAAAAGGGCCTGAACCTTGGATGAGGGTGAAAGGGTCAGGACAGTCCTTTCATGGGATAACCGGGACTGGAACACGTTGGGTATAGCTAGTCGGTTTGGCGCCCAATGATGTCAGGGTTTAGGTTCTAAAGCCTCAAGCCTCGGAAGATTACGCTTTAGGGTTTAGGGTATTATATTCCCCGGTAAGCGATGTTGAAATCGCTGGAGTACCGCGCGCGCCCTGGTTCAAGCTGTACGGCTCTGGGTTTAGGGCTTAGAACTCAGGGTTTCGCAGAGGGCTTTCTGCGTGCGACTACGGTTTAGGGTTTAGGGGTTTATGGTTTGGGGTTGAGGGTGCATGGCTTACCTGGCAACTGCTTAAGAAATCTTTGACAATTTGGGGTACCCAGAGAGCCCAATACCCTTTAATTAAGCATAGTATTAAGGCTCCTATAATTTGAGGTATATTCCTTTATTAAGGGGTATTGGGTTCTCCGGGTATAGGGGTTGAGGCGACTGCAGGGTTGCGTACATGCAAGGTTCCACCTTCGTGATTGCCAGTGTTTCTCTTCTCCCGCTGTAGAGCATGCTGGTGCATGTGTTTCCTGTCGCCAGCAAGGTTGAATGAAACGGGTGACCTTTTTGAGGGTTTTGTGTGGAAATGGAGGTTGTTTTGCGTGCCAAATGACTGCGGCCGAGAGTTGTGTCCCAGCCACTGTTCACATACTCAGGGCGCAGGCAGCATTGCCAGCCCGACCAGCGTTGCTCCCAATTGGGCCTATTTGGGCCCGATTGCGCCCAATGGCACCCGATGGCGCCCAATTGGGCCCAATCCGGCCCCATTGGGCCCAATCGGGCGCCATTGGGCCCAATCG